ACCCAGAAAAGGTGCTTCAACAGGCAGTCAGAAATACAAGGGACAGGGGCTGAAGAGATGGCTCAGTGGTCTAAAGCACCTACTTAGAACAAGCTTAGCAAAGCATCGGGGACCGCGGTTCAATCCCCCAGCACCACATGCCAGCCAGCCTCGCCCCCTGGCGGGCTGAGCTGGCCACACACACACACCTCTCTCTCTCTCTCTCTCTCTCTCTCTCTCTCTCTCTCTCTCTCTCAAATAAATAAAAATTAAAAAAAAAAATACAAGGGACAAAGTAACAATATAAGTTTGAGAAAGTGAGCTGAAGAGATGCAGTGAAGTTAGCCTTTAAATCCTATGGCTACCAGGTTGTTGCTCTGTCCCTAGTGGATGCTTGTTTGATTTAAATGAGAGAAAAGAGTGTACTGAGTAGTCAAAAGCAAGAAATAACTTGATGAAAACCAACAAGCAGGCTGCTGTTTTGGTTTGAATCCATCAAATTACCTCTGCAAACATGGAAAAAATAAGAGGCAACTGGTGTCACATTTGCTCAAAGATCCCTGGCTCATCCACTTGAAAGGAAATAAAAAAGCTCCCTAGATTCTGTAAACAAAACACAAGGACCAAAACTAAACGTTTTTCGCTATTGGGGGTGGCTTAGGCAAGCAATCCCAGCACTTAGGAAGCTGAGGCAGGAGAATTGCCTCAAATTCAAGAGGGCTACACAGCCTGTCTCATGAAAACAAAACAAAACAAAAGAAAAAGAAAAAAATGTTTTTCTTTAACTGTAATATGACATTAGGAAAGTCAAATGCGGGGCTGGAGAGATGGCTCAGTGGTCTAAAGCACCTACTTGGAACAAGCTTAGCAAAGCATCGGGGACCGCGGTTCGATCCCCCCACCACATGCCAGCCAGCCCCGCCCCCTGGTGGGCTGAGCTGGCCACACACACACACCACACACTCTCTCTCTCTCTCAAATAAAATAAAAAAAATAAAAAAATAAAAAAAAAAAGAAAGTCAAATGCTGTCAGGCATTGTGGCACAAACTTGTGTAATCCTAACACTTAGGAGGCCAAGACAGGATTCCCTCAGACTTAAGGCCAGCCTGAAGTATGGATTGAGACCCTAATTCAAAGAGAATGAGAAAAAAAACCAAAAACCTGAATGATGAAATTTCTCCAAATATGATTAATAAGTTCATGCAACACAATGTTTTTCAAAAGAAGTACTTCACATGTGAATGTAAATTTTTTAAAAGTTTAAGTTAAGGGCCGCTAAGATAGCTCATCAGTCTTAAGCACCTGCCTAGGCAAGCAAAGGACTCAGGGTTCCATCCTCATTTCCACATGCCATTGCCGGCCCTGCCCTGGGTGCACCTAGCCAGCAACCAAGACGGGACATGGTGGCACATGCCTGTAATCTCAGTGCTGGAGAGGCTGAAACAAGAGGATCACTACAAGTCCAAACTATGTAGTGGGAACCTGTACTAAGTACATTAAAAAAAGAAAAATAGTAAATTAAACTGAAACCAAATTTCTACTACCAAGCAAACAGCAACTTGTAATTAGGAAGTGCTATACTTTCTATCTTCAATCTACCTTACAAATGATAGTCACCACCATGGGTAAGCAGTTGTACTTTTTTACATAATACCAAAATAGCTAATATAATTTTCTAAAGTGGACATGGTCATACATGGCTAATCAGTCCTTTGACAGGCTGAGCCAGGATAATCCCAAATGTGACCCCAACCTAGGCAATTTATCAAGATTATGACTCAAAAAACATAAAAATGCTGGGCATACAGGCACACACCTGCAATTCCCAGAGTTCCAGGACAGCTCGAGTTATATAATGAGTTAAGAGCTCATGCTGAACTATACAGCAAGACTCTGTCTTAAGATAAATACACAAATAAATTTATACAGACAGACATTTAAATAACAGAAAAAGTCTGGGGGTGTAGATCAGCACAAAGGCCCTGGGTTCAAGCCCCAGCACGCACACAAAAACTCTAATGTAATTTCTTAAAAACAATGAACTGGGCTTGGTGGCCCATTCCTGCAATCCTAACACTTGCAAGGGCCCACCAAGAGTTCATGGCCAGTCTAGGCCTACAGAGTGAACCTGTTTCAAAAGCAACCACACAAAAACATCTTGTACTTATGTATGTACCATTTGGGTTTTTTCCCACAGATACTATATATACTAGTTTTCAAAATCATTCAGTCGAAAAAAAATTCAGAAAAGGAATAGAGGAATTACTACAAGTACTACATTAAATAAAATAAATGAAGACTGGTTAGGTTAAGCCACCAGCTCAAAGTCACATAGGTACTTACTGGCAGTGAATAATCTTGCAACCTGCTTCTGTTTCTTCACCAGAAAGATGTCCTTAAAACTTTAGGATCTGAATACCTTATCCAGATAAGCAATCTTAAGTTAGAATGGAAAATTTAAACATTATTCCAAATTTACTTTGTTGGATAAAATCATTAATGTTATCCTGGTACACTGAACATCCTATTCATTTTCAAAATATGATAATTTTAATATATAGCATGTTCTGGAACTCTAAATGCCACAAATTTTTAAACCTTTCAAAAGTAAATGAAAAAAATCTATTCTCAATAAAATTATGGGGGAAAAAAAGTAAATGAAAAATCTAAAACAAAAATGCCTAAAAATGTCAGGTGAGCAAACTTAAAAACTATTTACATGCCTAAAAAACTGCGAAGCAGATGGAAACAATGATAGTCTTAATTGTAGTTCTACAAGTTTTATGATGTTGGTACCTTCACTGAAATGCAGGCATATACAAAATCCATATCCTAGAAACCACGTTAATGAGCTCTCCTACGTTTAAAATCCAAGAAAAACTCCCCAAACTTTCAAACATGACAGAAACTCATACCCGTTTAATATTTCTGAGGCTGAATATATGAAGCAGGAAATCAATCAGAAATTATCTTTACTCTGAAACTTGCCTATCATGGAAACAAGCTACAGTAAAACCCCCTACAATTTACTGGTCTCTAAACTTGAGGTAACTCTGCTCCTCAAACCTAACTATTCCCTCTCTACCCCTGTAAATGCGACACACACAAGGCCTCACATACAGGCCTCTTGCCTTTTTTTTTTTTTTTCCTAACACAACTAAGACCTTTGTTCCCAGCGTCGGTTTTTTATCCCACTCAATAGCTCTTTCAACTTTCTACGAACGCATTTTTTGGTTTTGTTTTTAGAAAGGAGATTCTGAGCCTCAACTTGCCAGGTCTTTAAACGAAACGTCGAAAATATCTATTAAAGCTCTCAGGAGAAATATAAAGTTAAATACACCACTAATGGGCCTACAAAACGGAGGAAAGCCGGGATATCGGGTAAGCTGGCAGCCAAGGAGATAGGGAGCGCCCACTAGGAAGGGAGACAGCGGGAAAGCAGTTAGACGTTCGCCCCAACAGAACCACTGCGCGCTCAACCGAACCGCCCCCCCATACGCCCGCTCCCCCAATTACCAAGCAGCAAGCTGTGTCCCCCGCCAGGAGGAGTGTCTGAGCCAAGCCTCCCCCCAAAGTACAACTTCATTATCAAAAACAAACCTGTCTTCCGGTACTGCAAGCAGCCCCTTTCCCTTCTCCCCTCGCCCCTCCAAGGTAACCATTTCCCTCCAGACCCCGCCACAGTTCAAAGGTTTAAGTCACCCACCCCCGTGCATGTTTTTAAACGTCGACGAATTTTCTCTAATTATGGATTTCTCTTGATTCTGAGGAAGTGAGACCACAAAAAAAAAAAAAAAAAAAAAGCCTAGATTTGAAGGGGTTTACAGCCTTTCCTGATTTGAGCTCCCCTTCTAACTTTTCTGTTGTAGAAACCCGGAGGAGAGGGGTTGAACGGACGGGACCGACGTTATAATAGGTTTTACGTAATCCACATATAAATAAATTACTCGCCTGACTCGCTTTGAATGCTAATACGATTGGGGTGACAACTGGCCCACGTCCCTCCCCCAAGTCCCAGTTCGCCTCCCCGTCCACCAATTCCCGTGCTGGGCTCTCGGGAAGGATGCTCGGTGCCTCCGGCCAAGTTTCCCGGCCTCCTCGCCCCGCCAGCCCCTCTCGCCGTCGTCCTCCCTCAACCAGCGCCGCCCGGCGTGGACCCGTCCCCGGCAGGAAGCCCCTTACTGCGGTCTAAAGTCCCTCGGCCTCTCCCTCCTCAGCCCCTAGCTTCCCACAACTGTTGTCACTCGAGCTGCTGCCTACTTTCCATTTCCGGGCCGTCTCCAGCCCGGAGCCTCGCCTCTCCCGGTTTCCGGGCCCCCCGTCCCATTTCCGGGGAACCCTCGCCGTCTCCACACCCCCCACCTGCACTTCCGGCCCCCCACTTTCTCGCCTCCTAGACGCCCTCCAAGCTCCCAAGCCCACTTCCGGCCCCCCAGGCCCTGCCGGGCTCCTCGAGACCCTCACACGCCTCACCCCGGTTCCGAGAGGGGCCCTCCTCATAGCGTGGGCCCGAGGGGGACCCGATGACCCCGCGCTCCCGTCGGCCCGGTCCCCTCAGGCCGCGGTCCGCCTCGAGCGGCTGCCCCGTCAACCCCCGGGCCGGTCCTTCCGCGGCCCCACCGCCGCCGGCGGGCGCAGGCCGAGCGGGGGCCGAATCGCAGCGATGACACAAGCGGGCTTCCTGGGACTTTCTGTTCCAGCTCCTCCCCCGTCACCCCCACCCCTCACACGGCCCCCTCCCCCAAGCCGGCCCCCGCCACTCACCACTGCGCCCCAATTACCTAGTTAGGCCCCAAAGTCTCCGGTCCGGACTCGGTGGCGCGGCAGGAACTTCCACTCGCTCCCCACCCCCCCGGCGGCGGCGGCGGC